TTATAATGCAATTTTGATTTTTAAATTCAAACTATAAAAGGCAAAAAAAAAAAACAGTGGGAATTGAATAAAAATTACTTGTACGACATTTTGATCTCGATGGTGACCATATATTGTGATTGAATTGTGGTAAAATGCAAAATGAAATTAAAAACTTTCATCCTTTAATAATTGGCTATTTTTAATAATTATTGTTGCTATTATGCTATATTAAGGAAAGTGATTGGATTGGGACATGTAAAAGTGGACGACCAATGTTTTGTCCAGCTCCATCAAATCTCCACCTTGCTCAAATTCTTCACGTCTTTACAATTTTAGTTCATATTTATATTATACAATTAAATTAAAGAAAAAAAAGAATACAATACTTGTCATAAAAAAAATTATATTTTTATTTCATATTTATATTATACAATTCAATTCAAGACAAAAAAAAAAGGATACAAATATACAATACTTTCATAAAAAAAAAAGGCTGGCCCGCGATCCAGCCTGCCCCAACCCGCGCTAGCCCGCGGGCCAAATGGGGTGGGCCAAATAGGCCCGCGATTGAACAGGCTAGCCAAGCAAAGGCCCAAGCCCGTCCATTTAGGCGGGCGGACGGGCCAGCCCGCAGGCCATGGCCCGTTTTGACAGTGCTAAATATACCTTGGGAAATTTTTAAGTCTCCTACATGAAATTGAAAATATTACAATTATAACTTTCATAAACAAATAATTGTAACTATACCTAAATAAAGAACATTTACTGCATATTAACCTAAAAGCCAGTTACATTTAAGGGTGGACCTCAATCCCATATTTTCCGCACGATTTGGGGGTACCTGCCTAAAAAAACGTACCTAATGTATATGGAATGAAAATAAGAGAATAATAAACGATTCTACGTACCCATATTTTTCGCACTATTTTCTGAGGTATATGTGCAGTATATTTTTGGTATTTGTTCATAAAAATAAATTATGTAGTTTTTAATATTTTGGTTTATGTTCAGCAGTTTAGTTTTATGTGTGCAGTACAAGTATATTTTTTGTTTATGTTCAGTATATTTTGTCGTTATGTTCAATTTATTTGGGGTTTATGTTCAACAATATATTGTTTGGTTTATGTGCAGTATGTATATTTCACTAATCACTCACGGTTTTGGAGTATATTTCACGTCACAGAGAATGTATATGTGCAGTATAT